TTGGTGTGGCTCTTTAGTTAGCCTTTGAGAGCACACTAACATAGGGTAGTGTCATTGCTCTTGTGTGAATTGACACTATCTAAACTAGAATTGTGGTAGGTGGCTTGCATTTTTGAGTAGGCTAGCGCAACACTCGCTTCGCCTCATAATTGTCTAACCATTTGGTTAAGTGTTGTTGTAGAAATTTTTATTAGGCTATTCACCCCCCCTCTAGCCATTAGGACCTTTCACCTCCCTCATGTTATTTTGTTGCACCGACCCTGCGACACAGCCCTGCGCACGATCGTTGCTTCACTGCCGCCACCCGCGTCCGGCCATGGCCGAGCAGTCCCATCATGGCGCTTCACGACGCTCTCTCTCTGAGTCTTCCCCATATGGATGCCTCGCTTAATTAACGCAGCCTCGATCGAAGCAGGCATAGCCTTGAAGAGTTGTCGCCTCCGCCTGACCTTGTCGCCAACAGAATCGCCTGCTCCGCACGACAAATACGTGCGGTTTGGGACATCACACCACAATTCGGCGTTCCAGTAGATAGACAGGAACACCAGCTAGCAGCCCGACCCTCACCTTAGCACAACCGAGCACTATTGGTGTCCAATTTCTGGTTTTTCTTGCCACCGGCCAGGTGCACCGCCGTGCCAATGAAATTGGGGTAAGGTCCGAATTAGTTCAATTGTTTGTATCCACGAGCTCGCCTTGAACTCCTCTATTTGGTGCTCGAGCCATTTGGCCAGGGCGCTTACCGGAGATGTGGTGACGCATGGGTGTCCATCTCGGAGCATCGCCGCCCCGATGGCTCACACAAGGCCAGGCCACCTCGGCACTCCTCCGCTTCAACCGTCACCGCAGCACAAATTTCAGTGAGCTACTGGTGCTTACCCGCTATCCCTACCACCCTGATAGAACCTTAGGTCGTCGAAACAGTCGTGCCGCCACCATGGATAGCCGCTCGCCGCTGTAGCCCACGATAGTGCGCCTCCGAGTCCCTAACCGCCACCCATCCTTACGCGTTTAGCTGTAGATGGTGGTTGGCCCCTTACTCCCGTCGTAGCACGCCTAGGTTGCCCGACGTAACCGCCTTATGCCATCGGCCGCCGTGCCGACGCACGCGGGGATCCCCAGGGACCTCCCCGTGGTAAAGGTGAAAACATCCGAGGGTTTGGTTGCAAGATTACTGACGGTAGGAATAGTGCGCATAGTAGTCATGTTATTATCTAAAAGCACGGGGGCTTTTCTGTAAAGCTATCGTCGCGCACGGGCCTTCGGCCTTGGGATGTGTTGGGCCATCGTGGCCCGCGTGAGGCCGCGCCCGCCCCCGCGCTGGGCTGTCGGGCCAGAAGGGGTTGCTGCCGGCCCTTTCCTTTTTCTAATGCATTTTCTAATTTAGTTTCTAAGGCAAACTTGTAAATGCAAAATAAATTTATGTAGTTGACCAAAAATTGTGAAATTAATTTTGTTAAGTTCTTAAAATTATGATCTATCTGCTAGTATATCTTGTTCACATAGTTGCATAGTATTTTCAGGAGTTATCTAATTAAATTGAGATGCTTAATATTGTTTAGATATAAACTTATAGGAATTTTTGTAATAAATTAGTGATAGCGTTGCCTCTGAAACTTTTATAGTAAATTCCTCATATTAGTAGGTGCTCACTATAATTTTGTAGCTCCATAATAATTAGTTTGCTAAGGTAGCTAAATGAGCCCTAGTTCAAAAATATATATTTAATCCATAAAATGGCAAAACACCTTGGGATTTTAAAACTAGAACATTTTCCGGGAAACAACGCCTTTTTCGACAACATGGATACGTAGCCTAGCACATTAGTTATTAGAGCTATCTCGTTAGCTTGCGAGGCGTAATCGTATTTCTAAGAGTTTCGGTTGCCGTTGATTATTTACGTCTCTGCATTGTATCTATGTATATCATAATAGGAACAACGATGGATCGTGGAGATGATCAGAGTAGTGGAAAGGATGGTGCCTTGATGATCGTGTCACCATGATAGAATGCTAACTTTTGGTTATATCTTATCCAGGTAAGCCCCAGTGCATAACCCCTATTATTCTAGACTTTATTTTATACTTGTGCATTAAGTTTTAAGGAGTTGAATGAAACCAATTGCATATATATATATATATATATATATATATATATATATATATATATATATATATATATATATATATATATATATACCAGATCGTGTAGATTGCTATGCTATAGGATCCGGTACAAGTCAAGTGATTACCTATCACTCACGAGAGATAGGAAAGATATTATTGTTGTTATTATATTACTATCATATGGAATATATATGAAGGATAATTGGAGACCAGGCGGAATGGTACTTTGGATCTGGACTTGGTTAGGCATTCGAGCGAGGCTCGGATTGCACTTGTTCCGCCTGTGTCGATTGAGGACCATCCGTTGCTATGGATGGTAGTCAGGTCATAGACTTATTATCCTGAACACATACTTGCTTATGGGAGCGGAAAGGCTCATTACGCTCTTGTCGTGGGTTCTGGCTCTTTTCGAACCGATTGATTGGAGGCGGGGAAAGGTGGAGGTCTAAGCACCATATTAAGATCGGGTCTCAAGTGTGGGGGCTTAGAGTCCATGTTTGGATAGGGGACCTAGGCCCCATGACAGGAGTGGAATGAGTTGGTCTTGTTTGTGCCTGGGGTACAAACGAGGCGTGTGTTTCGAGGTACCCAGTTGGGATACATTGATTCGCGAATCGCTGTTTCTGTGAGACGGTACAACTTGGCTATAGTCTAGCACCGTAGTAAGAACTAGACCTTGAAAGGTGATAAAAATAGTTCTGATTGCTTACCACCTGCTTGAAAGTAGCATAGGTGCTTACATAGAATGGTTAGTTAATGAACTAATGATGACTGCTAATAAAATTAAATATAAGGATGCACGTTTAGTAATGCTTCCGCAGATGCAATAACTCACAAGCTAAATAAGCCTTGCATATCATTGGAGTCTTTTATTTTTCTCCTGTCAGGTAAGTCTTGCTCAATACAATCGAGTACTCAAGGTTATATTCCCCCTATTGCAGGTGATCGGAGGATACTTAGAGCTGACTCTTGTGTGTGGAAACCTCCTGGTGGGCTCAGAGAGGATTCCTTCACGCTACCACTGTAGTGTTTATTTAAAATCCTCACTAAAGGTTTTTATAAGAAAATGTGTAAAATCTACTAGCATCTCTTGTATAAAAATGTCCACTATGTTAATGCTCCACCATGTTATTAAATTAATCTTTGCTTCCTCTACAACTCTGATAACATTGTTATATTCCGCTATTATAATCAATTGAGGTACTATTATGTTAATGTAATAAAGTGATGTAAGAAATGACTTAAGAATGTTGTAAGTTGTATTCTCTCATTTATGATCTTCATGGAAAATGTGGATTTTTTAGTTCTCCCTTGGGGTGTGATTGATGGAACTGCGTAGTTTAATGTCATCTCTTTAGTACTTAGTGTCTAATGGAAGACAAATACTCCTAGGAGGTATTAGATTAGGCGGTTCTGCCATACACGGCAAGCAGCCCACGACGTGGCGAGAGAGGAGAAAGAAGAGAGGAAAGTGGAGAGAGGAGAGAGAAGAGAGGCGAGAGGAGAGAGGAGCGATGAAAAGAGAGCAACTGATCTAGATCCGTGGCGGCGTAGGGCGTGGAGCTCCCGCACTCCCGAGCCGTGATCTACGCCGGCGCCACACTAGAGACCGCCGCGCCGCCACAGCCCCGTGCCGCTTGCCGCCGTGCACGGCCGGGCCGGGAGGCCACCGCGCCGCCGCAGCAGCAGCCCCACGCCGCCCACCGCGCGTTGGGGCCACGCACGGGTAGGCCGAGAGGCCACCGCACTGCCGTCTTCGCCGAGCTGCCAGGGCTCCCGCGCCCCTGAGATAGGACCGAGCGGATATGAAAGGGACCGAGAGGACAAGGGGACGGACAGGAGGCAAATATTCTGCTCCCGAATGACCGTACAATGCGGTAGGCTGTCCGGCCACCGTCCAAACTCCATCCGAAGGCGCACGATATTTTTCACCGATGTGGCCACCGCTAGGGCGCATCCAGGCCACGGCGTTTAAAGACTTTAAATGTTTTTGCGTCAACAAGATCCTATTGCAAGAGATTGAATACATGGAGATTGATGGGATCACATATTAAAATTATATATTTGCTCACAAGAAAAAAAAAGAGCGGAGCTTTATTTTTCACGATCGTGCCTTACACCTTTTTTCACTAAGGCCCCCTTTAGATATCTTTGGAATTAAATTTATTTTAATAATCATAATCTAGACACATATTAATTAAGCTAATATGATTGTATATGAATTATATTTGTATATTATTATTGGCTATACGAGAGAGATACTTATGTGTTTTCTATCGTAGGGGAGCGAGTTGAAAAGCGTGTTATAAGTTGCAAAGTAGAAACATAGCATAGTTATCTATAGAATTAATTTTTATCTCCCATCCTATAAATTTGAGATAGGCTTATATATATGTGAACTTTAGAAAATGATGAAATGTCAATTTCCAAGCAAAATAGCCTACTATATTAAGTGGATTTCAATTCCTTAAAACGAAAGGATTCAAATTGCCGAAATAGAGCCAACTACAAACACATCTTACGATGGTAATCGCAGGATTACCGAACTAAGAACACCCCGTCAGATTTGATCCTAATTACACGGAACTAAGCTGTGACTCTTCTGAAAGAAGCTCATAGCAGACACCCTCTCCTAGACTACAAACTCTCTTACAGCACTACGACGCGCGCGGCCATTGAGACCACGCACATTCTAGACAAACATGTTTTCTGAAGACATTAAACAACCAACCAGCGACAGAGCAAAAGGGTCTAGACAATTAGGGTATAGGAATGGTAAACATTACATACATGACTATGATCATTGGCGCTAAGCGTATGGACATGATGTCGTTCCAAAGTGGTCGATCGAAAGTTGTGGTGCCAGCAGTGGCACTATGCCTTTCCGGACGATGCAGAGGAAGCGGCCGCGATGCTCTCTTGCATCACTCTGAACTTTTCAGCGGGCGGAGCTGCAAGGATCGCATCGGCACACTTGTTGTAGGTAGCTAGAACCGCCGCGATCTCCTTGTCATCTCCATCCGCGTACGCCTTGTTGATAGCCCTGATAGTGGGGGCGAATTCTTGATTGATGAGGAACACATCGTCAATGGTTTCCTCCTTCTTGCCTTGCGCGACGGCAGCGCGGACCTCCTTGAAGGCCTTCTGCAGCTTGGAGACGGTCTCGCAGAAGGGCTTGTCGTTGACGTTGGTGAGGCAATCTTTGTGGTTTGGTGCAGCCATCGCGTTGAACAATTCCTCCATCCTCTCCAGCTTCATAGCCGGCGGTGCCTCCATGACGATCTTGGCGCTTAACTCGTATTTCAAGGCGACTGTTGCTACCTTCTCCTCGCCTCCTGCCTTGGCCTTTGCGAGGGTGCGCTCGGCGATGTGGAGATGCTTAGAAGTTGCATCTATGGCTTCCTTCTTCTTGGCCGGCGGGACGGATGCGATGACATCGTCGAAAACCTTCTTCAGTGTCAGATTCACCTCGTTGATCTTCTTGTCAACTTCGGCGGACGATTGCTCCGGCGGCACTGGCGAAGGAGTGGCTTCCACGGCTGTGATGATGGTAGCAACAAGGACGATCAGTAGGAGGATCTTGGCCATGGTAAAAATTTCAGTATAATGTATGCTAACAACTGTTGGTAGTTCAGTTGGTTCACAATGCAAGCTAGAAGGTGGCTCGGCTTTTTTTTAATATAGTGGTAAACACCTTTTTTACTATAAATAGTGGATCCATGCATGCTAGATGGAAATGGAAGGTGACAATGTAGTAATTAAGGAGAGCCCAAGAGAGACTCGCGGGTGAGTTTGCGATAGCTCCAGAATTGGCTACCTTCATGCAAGCCGTGCCTGGTGTGCTTCTTGGTGGCCCCTCCTTCCTCTTCCGTCTTGACCAAGGACCAACTATGTACCAGGTTTGTTCTAAACAAATACACTGTATATTCTGAAGATAAAAGATATTTCGATCTCGAACACATCTACTAATAGTAAAACTTATTTTTTTATTGCATGGATGTCGTTGACTAATATGGATCTAAATTTTTATGATTCAAAATTCAGAATTATATTAATTCGACATCAAATATAGGAGTCCAAGTTTGTCCTAAGTCAAACTATGCAATGTTTGACTAAATTTATAAAGAAGAGTATTAATATCTATTACATCAAAGATGTATATGAAAATATATTTCATAACATAGATGCTAATTTGAAGTCGTAACTATTATTCTTCTTTTCTATACTTTTGTGGTCAAAGTTAACACAATTTGACTTATGACAAACTTAGATTTCTTGTATTAACGGAGGATGAAAAAGATAGCTGATAATATATATCCACTAAGGCCTTGTTCGTTTTATCCCGAAACCAAGGGTTTGGAGGGGATTGCGAGGGATTTAATAATCCCTACAAGTCAAATCCCTCTCGATCCCCTCTGATCCTCTACAATCTCCTTGTTTGGCGAAGAACTGAAAAGGGCCTCAGCTGGATCCAAACCTGGTGTCTTTATCTCTTTAATTACATACCCACTCACCTGCATGTCCAGACCATTCCTCCACCTAAGAATGCACCGCTCGATTAAAGAGTAAAGATGGCAATGGGTACTGTCGGGGACCAAATACTGGGATACCCAAAGAGGTGGAGCTATTAACCATCAAACGTTGATGCTTCCGAACAGACAAGAACGCAACTACACTTCTTGACCATACGACCGAAGGTTGGCTGCGCCTCGCCCGGCCCCTAAGGGTTGGCTCCGCCTCGCCCGACCCCCGAGGGCTGGACTCCGCCTCGCCCGACGTCTGGGGGCAGACTACGCCTCGCCCGACGACCGGGGACTGGCTCCGCCTCGCCCGACCCCCGAGGGTTGGACTCCGCCTCGCCCGACGACTGAGGGCTGGCTCCGCCTCGCCCGACGTCTGGGGGCAAGCTCCGTCTTGTCCGACGTCCGAGGGCTGGCTCCGCCTGGCCCAACGACTCAGGGCTGGCTCCGCCTCGCCCGATGACCGAGGGCAGGCTCCGCCTCGCTCGACGTCCGAGGGCTGGCTCCTCCCTGCCCAACGTCTGAGGGCCGGCTCCGCCTCGCCCGACGTCCGAGGGCAGGCTCCGCCTTGCCCGATGTCCCAGAGCTGGCTCCGCCTCACCCAACGTCTGCACCCTGCACCTTCATAATGACGAGCACAGGGTAAGACAGGACACTCAAGTCAACCGCAGTACCGAGGACCATATCCTGCACGCCTGTGGGAAAGTACTATCAGGATATGACGGGACGGGCGCTTTAAGCCCTTCCAGGCATGACAGAGCCCGAACAGTGTTGTAGGCGCCGACTTTTATCTTACAGTGTTGTGGGCGCCACCATCAGCCCTCGGACGTGGATCCTGACATAAGCATATGACAACCACTACGATCCAGGAGGGAACTCACATCATCTATAGTAACGGACGCATGTTCACTTCCTCGTCTGCTCCCCATAGGGGCAGGATGGCACGTGACCACTTGCTGAACGAAGCCAGAGCACGGCCCTATCAAGATCAGCGAACGTGCTATATCTGGCACCGTCTGCCATATCAGCGGGGCTGGCTCAATGGAAAAGGAAGACCCGGCACCTTCGACGGACCTTCTTGGCCTCTAGTTTTTCTTCTTTCTCCCATCTGTAACCCCTGCTCCCCCTTGATCTATAAAAGGGAAGGCAGGGCACCCCACTAAGGGGAATGATTGGATTCAACACATCATGCACCACATAACACACAGCTGAGCAACAACCGAGCTCTCGGCACCTATTCGACCTCTCCATCAGACACTTGGGACCTATCCCTCTCTCGACTGTTTGTACCCCCTACTACGAACCTTTCAGTGCTAATAACACGAGCAGCAGCAGCAAACTAGACGTAGGGACATTCTGCCTGAACCAGTATAAACCTTGTGTCTTTTAGCACACCATCCGGGCCCAACGCGCAACAAATACAAATTTACTAGTTAGTGTTTACTCAAAACAACGACATGTACGAATGTGGACTAAACACGTTACCCCCGAGGGACACGTCGAAAGCGTCCCCACAGAGGAGGCTACCTCGGTGGGCAACCTCGGCGACGAAATAGAAGGAGAGACAGCGGCCCCACCTCGCATGGGGGTGGAGCAACTGAAAGCCCGACAGTGGGAGATCGAGGAAGCACAACTCCAGCTTGTGCAGGAATGCACGGAGCTCGATTGGGAGATCGAACGCCGCGAAGACGGTGGCCGCGCATGCGCCATGGCCCGTGATGTAAACCGAAGGATCATCGCCGACGATGAAGCCCTTCCTCGCTTCGCCCAAGCGAGCCAGAACATCGCCACTACCACGGCGTTGCTCCATGGCCTTCCAGAGCCCGCAACGCCCGAGGATCATCGGGCCCACCATGAGATTCGCACACTGCTCGAGCGTGCGACGGCGCAGCAGGTAGAGAGCTCATTGTCTCGGCGATGCGAGCTCGACGCCAGCCAGCGCACGCTCTCCGGGTGTCCCGGCAGGGACGCGTCGGTCCACCAGACACCATCGAGCGACAGGCAGCGTGCCGCTGTCCCGATGCATCAGCGTCTTGGCTGTAACCGCGATGCACGCAGCACTCTCGATGCTCGCAGGCATACCCATGGTGATCCAAGAGAGGGAGCCAGCCGCGGCTATCATCCTTGTCACGGCGGACGCTACGACAGTGGCGACGACCAGAGTCCGACCCCCGGTCTGCTGGGCCCTCAGGCCTTCGCCCTGCACAACCTCAACGCTGCCTTCCCGCCAAGGTAACGGCCACCAACCAACATCCCAAAGTACTCTGGGGAAACAAACCCTAGACTATGGCTCGAAGACAATTGGCTTGCCTGCCAAGCCAGTGGTGCAGATAATGACAACTTCATTATCCGTAACCTTCCACTGTTTTTAGCTGATTCGGCACGAGCGTGGTTGGAACACCTGCCGTCCAATAGAATCCAGAGTTGGGCGGACCTAAATGAGATCTTTGTGGGGAACTTCCAGGGCACATACAAGCGCCATGGGAACCCATGGGACCTCAAAAACTGTTGTCAGAAGGCCGGTGAGACCCTCCATGGGTACATCCGACGCTTCTCCCGGCAATGCAACGAGCTACCTAACATCGCCGATGCCGACGTTATAGGGGCTTTCCTGTCCGGGACTACCTGCGAGTCTTTGGTTCATAAGCTGGGACGCAAGGGCCCGTGAACCACTTAGGAACTCCTAGACATCGCCACTAGCCATGCCTCGGGAGAAGAAGTGGTCGGAGTGATCTTTGATCATCTCAATGGCAAGGCAAAGCGGGACGAGGGTGCCAGCGAAGGTGCCTCCAATCGTTCTGCCAAAAGGAAGAACAAGAAGCAACAGCGTGAGGACTTGCTCGTGGCCGCTGCTGACCGCAAGGGTGGTCAGAAGCCTGCGGAGGGCACTCCGAACCACTTCAAAAAATTACTAGAGGGGCCATGCTCGAACCATGCCTTCTCGATTAAGCATCTGTTCACGAACTACAGCCTCATGCGGCAGTTCTTGTCCGGAGGCTCTAACAAAGGGGAGCACGGAAAGGACCCTACCCCTACCACGGACGACGCCGAGGAGAAGGATGATGGCTTTCTGACGCCGGATGGCTGCCTTATGATCTTCGAAGGATCAGCGGCCTATGACTCCAAACATCGTCAGAAGGTCATGCGCCGCGAGGTCTATATGGCTGAACTGGCCACACCTCTCTTCCTCCGGTGGTCAGAGTCTGCCATAACCTTCGACCGGACCGACCATCCGGAGAGCGTCCCACGTCTGGGGAGATATCCGCTCATGGTCGACCCAATCGTCGGCCCGAAGCGGCTCACCAAAGTACTGATGGATGGAGGCAGCGGCCTCAATATCATGTACGCCAAGACACTCGATGAAATGGGCATCGACCGGACATGCCTCCGCCCAACCCGAGCACCTTTCCACGGCATCGTGCCTGGAAAGCAGGCCATGCCACTTGGGCAGATCGATCTGCCCGTTACCTTCGGGGATCAGTTCAATTATAGGATGGAAACCCTCACCTTTGAGGTGGTTGGGTTCCCCGGAACCTTCCACGCCATCCTGGGACGTCCATGCTACGCGAAGTTCATGTTCGTCCCCAACTATATATACCTCAAGCTGAAAATACCGGGCCCCCGTGGGGTCATCACCATCAGCACCTCCTTCCAGCGCGCCTATGAGTGCGAGGTCGAGTGTTGCGGTCACGCCATAGCAATCGTCGCCTCCGGGGAGCTAGCCACCCTCAAGGATGAGGTCACCGAAGAAGCGCCAGATGCTAAGAAGTCGACCGGGTCATTTGAGTCTGCAGAGGGCTCTAAAGAAGTCCTCGTAGACCCCGGGAGCACTGAGGGTAAAATGGTGCGCGTTGGTACCACGCTTTCCTCCAAATAGGAAGGCACGCTTGTCGGCTTCCTCCGTGCTAACAGAGACATCATTGCATGGAAACCCTCGAACATGCTAGGCATCTCGAGGGAAGTCAACGAGCATACCTTGAAGATCCACCCAGGCTCCAAGCCAGGCGTTGCTTCAACGAAGAGAAACACAGGGCCATCAGCGAGGAGATAGAAAAACTTTCGGCGGCC